TGAAATTTTGGCCGAAATTTGAAGAAGGGGGGACCATTGGAAAAATTTCACCTTTAAAAAAGTTGTCTAAAAATTGTGAAAAAATTCAGGGACGTAGATCTCGACATGCTGATTCCAAAAAAATAGAATACTTATGGTCACGGAGGTACATTTTCGATAGAATCGGTTTGAAATGCGAATTTTTGAGAATTTCTAAAAATTTCGATATTTTCACGGACGATTCTGGAAAAACGCTTGCAGTTATCAAAGAAACGAGGCCGAAAGTGAGTTATAGAGCTCGAAGTCTACAAGAAAATGTATTTAGTTAAGTTTCGTAAATGTGAAATTTTGGCCGAAATTTGAAGAATTTGGAACCATTGGAAAAATTTCACCTTTAAAAAAGTTGTCTAAAAATTGTGAAAAAATTCAAGGACGCAGATCTCGACATGCTGATTCCAAAAAAATAGAATACTTATGGTCACGGAGGTACATTTTCGATAGAATCGATTTGAAATGCGAATTTTTGAGAATTTCTAAAAATTTCGATATTTCCACGGACGATTCTGGAAAAACGGTTGCAGTTATCAAAGAAACGAGGCCGAAAGTGAGTTCTAGAGCTCGAAGTCTACAAGAAAATGTATTTAGTTAAGTTTCGAAAATGTGAAATTTTGGCCGAAATTTGAAGGAGGGACCATTGGAAAAATTTCACCTTTAAAAAAGTTGTCTAAAAATTGTGAAAAAATTCAGGGACGTAGATCTCGACATGCTGATTCCAAAAAATAGAAAACTTATGGTCACGGAGGTACATTTTCGATAGAATCGGTTTGAAATACGAATTTTTGAGAATTTCTAAAAATTTCATTATATCCACGGACGATTCTGGAAAAACGGTTGCAGTTATCAAAGAATCGAGGCCGAAAGTGAGTTCTAGAGCTCGAAATCCACAAGAAAATGTATTTAGTTAAGTATCGAAAATGGCAAAAATTGGCCGAAATTTGAAGAAGCGAGGACCATCAGAAAAATTTCACTTTTACAAAAGTTGTCTGAAAATTGTGAAAAAATTCAGGGACGTAGATCTCGACATGCTGATTCCAAAAAAATAGAATACTTATGGTCACGGAGGTACATTTTCGATAGAATCGGTTTGAAATGCGAATTTTTGAGAATTTCTAAAAATTTCGATATTTTCACGGACGATTCTGGAAAAACGCTTGCAGTTATCAAAGAAACGAGGCCGAAAGTGAGTTATAGAGCTCGAAGTCTACAAGAAAATGTATTTAGTTAAGTTTCGAAAATGTGAAATTTTGGCCGAAATTTGAAGAAGGGGGGACCATTGGAAAAATTTCACCTTTAAAAAAGTTGTCTAAAAATTGTGAAAAAATTCAGGGACGTAGATCTCGACATGCTGATTCCAAAAAAATAGAATACTTATGGTCACGGAGGTACATTTTCGATAGAATCGGTTTGAAATGCGAATTTTTGAGAATTTCTAAAAATTTCGATATTTTCACGGACGATTCTGGAAAAACGCTTGCAGTTATCAAAGAAACGAGGCCGAAAGTGAGTTATAGAGCTCGAAGTCTACAAGAAAATGTATTTAGTTAAGTTTCGTAAATGTGAAATTTTGGCCGAAATTTGAAGAATTTGGAACCATTGGAAAAATTTCACCTTTAAAAAAGTTGTCTAAAAATTGTGAAAAAATTCAAGGACGCAGATCTCGACATGCTGATTCCAAAAAAATAGAATACTTATGGTCACGGAGGTACATTTTCGATAGAATCGATTTGAAATGCGAATTTTTGAGAATTTCTAAAAATTTCGATATTTCCACGGACGATTCTGGAAAAACGGTTGCAGTTATCAAAGAAACGAGGCCGAAAGTGAGTTCTAGAGCTCGAAGTCTACAAGAAAATGTATTTAGTTAAGTTTCGAAAATGTGAAATTTTGGCCGAAATTTGAAGGAGGGACCATTGGAAAAATTTCACCTTTAAAAAAGTTGTCTAAAAATTGTGAAAAAATTCAGGGACGTAGATCTCGACATGCTGATTCCAAAAAATAGAAAACTTATGGTCACGGAGGTACATTTTCGATAGAATCGGTTTGAAATACGAATTTTTGAGAATTTCTAAAAATTTCATTATATCCACGGACGATTCTGGAAAAACGGTTGCAGTTATCAAAGAATCGAGGCCGAAAGTGAGTTCTAGAGCTCGAAATCCACAAGAAAATGTATTTAGTTAAGTATCGAAAATGGCAAAAATTGGCCGAAATTTGAAGAAGCGAGGACCATCAGAAAAATTTCACTTTTACAAAAGTTGTCTGAAAATTGTGAAAAAATTCAGGGACGTAGATCTCGACATGCTGATTCCAAAAAAATAGAATACTTATGGTCACGGAGGTACATTTTCGATAGAATCGGTTTGAAATGCGAATTTTTGAGAATTTCTAAAAATTTCGATATTTCCACGAACTATTCCGGAAAAACGGTTGCAGTTATCAAAGAAACGAGGCCGAAAGTGAGTTCTAGAGCTCGAAATCCACAAGAAAATGTATTTAGTTAAGTATCGAAAATGGCAAAAATTGGCCGAAATTTGAAGAAGCGGGGACCATCGGAAAAATTTCACTTTTACAAAAGTTGTCTGAAAATTCTGAAAAAATTCAGGAACGTAGACCTCGACTTGCTGATTCCAAAAAAATAGAATACTTATGGTCACGGAGGTACATTTTCGATAGAATCGGTTTGAAATGCGAATTTTTGAGGATTTGTAAAAATTTCGATATTTCCACGGACGATTCTGGAGAAGCGGTTGCAGTTATCAAAGAATCGAGGCCGAAAGTGAGTTCTAGAGCTCGAAGTCTACAAGAAAATGTATTTAGTTAAGTATCGAAAATGGCAAAAATTGGCCGAAATTTGAAGAAGGGAGACCATTGAAAAAATTTGTTGTAGAGAAGTAATAATGATTTTACAAATAAGTTTGGCCCCTGGGCTTACGGCGAATAAAACTATCATCAAAATTGAGATAGGGCGGGTGGGTGGGGCTTATATTTTGCCTTTTTTGCTTAAACCAGATTGCCATCTTTTCATAACAAGAAACTTAAAAGATAGTTAAAATGGTTTTTCCAAAGAAATATGGATTTTGTAATCATGGGGCAAAATATTTGCAAAATCGATATTTCCTTATAGAAATTTTCCATTTTAAAAATGTTTAAAGTTTCACGTTGGGAAACGAAGTGTACACATAATACAACAAAAAGGCAAAATGTAAGCCCGCCCACCCGGCCTATCTCCATTGTGATGAACCAAAGAGGGCGGAGCTTGACTGCAAAATACTTATTTCTTTACAAGAAGTTAAAATGATAGGTTTGAGTATCGTGTTGTTGAAAGAATACTATATATACTAAGAAAAATGGAGAACATATAAACTAAGAATAAGATGAATTTTCCATTCCTTATCAGACCCAGGGGCGGGGCGTAATTGCAAAATCCATATTTGATAACGTTGTAACTCTTTGGTTGTGAAGAGAGGACTACATACAGTAAGAAGAACAAAGCAACATGCAAGCCCCGCCCACCCGCAGAAATTTATCCGCCCCTCGGTGTGACAACGAATGAAAAATTCACCACAATTGAGATCAGGACGGGTATAGGTGGGGCTTCATCAGTGGCTCATTTTTTTACTTAAAACATACATTTTTTGTTTGAACAACATAATTTTTTGGGGGAAAATAAGGATTGCAATTATGCTCCGCCCCTCGGCTCACGACGAATAAAAAAAATCATCACAATTGAGATGGGGCGGGTGGGCGGGGCTAACTTACATTTTCTATTTTTTTCTTAATATAATTAGTAAACGAAAAGAAAAAACTCCCACAAATTTTAATAATGTAAAAAAAAAACAGGATTTTAGCAGACGTTCTATATTAATTCCACGTTATGTGGCGGCAATTGTTGAGATTTCCCTGTAAAGGTAAATTATTTAAAAAAAAGTATCCTCTTAAATGCGAGCATAGCGAACACGTTCAGGATGTTTCAGTTCCGCACACATTAGTAATCATAAACAATCTTTAAACTCATATTTTAATAACAATTTTTCTTAACAATTTAGCTTCTTAGGGACACCAATGATTTTATTTTTTTCTAGTAACACCTGAACGTGCTCGCTGCGCTCGCATTTTATATGTTCTTTCTATTATTCTCATAAAATACGAGTGCAGTGAGCACGTTTAGATTGGCAGAATATTTCCAACTTTAGCAGAAAATGGTGACAATTTTTTTTTAATATTATGTAAATGCATTTTTTTTTCGAAATGTCAGAAAAATAAAAAATTATTCTTCTATAAAAAATATTTTTAGCCATAGGATCATCATTTCAATATCTTACATTTTTCAACAAAAGTTACACACTAATTCTAAAAAGAAAATTGATACGTAAGTCTACGAACGTTGTGGGGTTAAATGTCAATTATCTGTCAACCTGACTTATTAGACATAGTAATGATGAGCCATCCGTATTGAAACGTATATTTAGTTGCCTACTTAGTCCTCAAAAATAATGACCGTATTATAAATAAACGACAAATAATAATTCCAATGCCTGCTCCAAATGTATTTTGCATTGTACACCCGCTATATCATCGTTTAATGAGTGTATTCACGGCATAGATTTATTGACATTTTCAACACAAATGCCGCACACACGTGTTAAGCCGGCAATTATTTTTAACTTAAAAATGTATTAACAAAATGGTGAAACATCCACACAACTATTTTATTCTTTATTCCTTAAATATCTTCTACTTCTGGGACAAAATATCTGATATAATAAAAATAAAGGTGCTATTTTTATTCTTTTGGAAAATGTATTCACATTATGTTTAAAAACTTCTGCTTATGCAACCAGTAATATTGTTCGTGGATGATATAGTATAGTGTTTACTATAATTTTACAACAAAACGATAATCATACTTATTTTTCAAAGTTGATCTGAAGGATGTAATCTTCTAAAAAATAACTACACAGTCGGTTTAGAATCTTTAATGTTTTCAAGCTTACGAAAAAAGACGTTTGAATTATGTATACAAAATAGATATTCTAAAGTCTCCCCATAACTCCAGATCACAAATTTGATATTAAGTTGGTTACGGGAAAACAACGTATCAATTGACTATCTAGTTGAAAATATGGTATGATCTTACTAATCTAAATCACAATGTATTTCTTATCTTAATACTAGCTAGTAAATGCAGCAGCAGCAGCGTAAAGGAATGCATCCTTCGAAAGATCAATATATTAAGGTACAATTTACAATCGTTGAAATCAGTCGTCGTCCCAAGGAACTTCTTCATCGCTTGTCCACCATCTCCTATTGTCGATTTTACTAAAAAAATACCTCACACCGCCGACTCTCATAACCTCGTAACTTCGCCATTTTTACTATCAATAGATTCGTTGCTTTTGATTCCATTTTCGACGACCGGCCCTGGATACGGCTCTCCTTTCAACACGAACTGGATCTCATCCAGAGTCTTCCCTTTGGTTTCTGGTATAACGAAGGCACAAAAAGCCGCCGTGAGCAGGCAAGAAGCGGCAAACAAATAAAAAGGAACTTCAATCCCGTACTTTTCGCTCAGTATGTGGTACAACTCGATCGAAATCAGCCCGAAAGCTAGGTACATCAAGTCCGATAGGGTCATCCCCATCGCTTTGACTTTAGCCGGGAACAGCTCCGCCGTCATCACGATGGGCACCATCCCCAACCCGAACTTGAACACCGCCGCGTACACCATCACCGACACGATCGGGATCCAGCTCACCCCCGCCACGTCCACGTCGCAGCTCTGCAGGTGGAAGTAGATCGCGATGACCAGCAACGACAACCCCGTGAGCAAACTCGACGTCGTCAACAGAATCTTGCGGCCGTATTTATCGATGACGAACGACGCCGATGACGCCGAAATGAGCATCACAGCCGAGAAAATGATCGCCGCCGCCTTGGAGTTAATGTAGATCGATCCCGCCGCCTCGAGGATCTTGTGCAAATTCATTAATATCACACTAATACTGCTGAAATGCTGAGCTCCGTTGAGCACGCTCATAATCAGCAGCGCCTTCCGGTTGCTCTTGATTAGGAGCAGGTCCTGGGGGCGGCCGCGCTCGCTGCGCTGCCGCTCCACGGCCTGCGAGATCTCCTGGAGCTCTTTATCCACGTCCATGGTGCCCCGGAGGCGGCGCAGCGACTTCTGCGCCTTCTCGAACTTGCCCTTGCCGAGCAGGTAGTAGGGCGACTCGGGCATGAAGGGGTAGGTGAGGAGCTCGAAGACCAGCAGCGCCGCCCCCACGACACACGACGCGTAAACGGGGACGAACGGCCCCACGGAATAAATTACTAATATTCCTAAAAGCATCATTAAGTAGATAATACCGGAGAGGAATCCCCTGATTTTCTGATCGGCAATTTCGGCTATGTACATGGGGGCGGCGACGAAGTTTACGTCGCCGGCTAAACCCGTTAAGAACCTCGCCACGAGGAGATATTCCACGGAATTCGCGACGGCGATGATGATCCAGGCGATTAGGTTGGTGATGCAAGCGCCTATGATTGTTTTTTGCCGGCCTATTCTGTCGACGCAGTAGATGGTTATGGGTAGACCTGCCATGCCCCCGATCATGTAGATGTTCTCCAGCCATACGGCGTCGGATTCGGTGATTTTGACGGGGGTGTTTTCGGACTGCAGCACCGGGATCAAGGGAGCCGACCAACCGTATTGCATGCCATCGGATATTGCACTCAGGGTACCTGGAACAAGAAGAAATTTAGTGTAAAATCGGGGCGGAAGGAGCTAATGGAAGGACAATTAAGACAGCGAAACGGGGATTATTGCCAGCAAACTGGATAATGGTGGAGTGGATGAGGCTAGTGTAAAAACGTCGCTGACACATCCACACCGTCTCGATTTATATCGCCCGACCGATTCGCCACAGGTTAGAATGACGTCATCGATTATTTGAATGGATTTGAATTTTTCATAGTGTTAATTTTAGTGTTAATGTGTTTTTACTTTCTAGAATTAATTTTTGTTTGAAGAATACGCTCTAATATCAAGAACTCAAAACTTTTCGTGGCACAAATATGGAAAACTCGCGAATAAATCTACCTTTATATGAAAATTGACGTTCGAAATTTTACTGTCATATCGGAATGAGTTGGAATTGATGTGATTTGTAGTCCGCGGAGAGTATTTTACTTTAGATATTGTGTAACAACGAAAGAGTGTAAAGGTTGTATATGTTATTATGTGGTTTCAGTGAAAACTTATTTATTTAATGATATAAAAATTTGGTCGATGGTGACAATATTTAAAGGAGATAAGAACGGGAAAAAAAGCTTTTCGAAAAATCGAAAAACTCAAAATTCAAAAAATCTAAAAATCGGAGTGTCGAAAAATCGAAAAATCAGGTAATCGCAACATCAAAAAAAAAAGTTGTAAGATCCAGATATTGAAAAATTCTCAAAACTGAAATACTGAAAGATCAAAAATCTGAAAAATTAAACAAAACGAGAAATCGAGAAATCGAAATATCTAAAATTAAAAAAATCGAAATTGAAAACTCGAAAAAATTTTTAAATGGAAAAACCAAAATGTCAAAAGATCGGAAATTAGAAAATCGAAAAATCTATAAATTAAAAAACATAAATTGAAATATCCCAAAGCTGAAATGTCGAAAAATTGAACAAATGGAACCTTGAAAGATTGGAAAATCTTAAATTTTTGGGATTTCTAATTTTTCGATTTCTTGAATTTTACATTTTTCTATTTTTCAATTTTTCGATTTTACGATCGAAAAGTCGAACAATCGAAAAATCGAATAATTGAAAATTTGAAACATCGAGAAATCGATACTGACAAAATTTAAAATTAAAAAAAATCGATAACATCAAAAATCGAAAAACTGAAAAATCAGGCAATCGAAACATCAAAAAAACAGCTGTAAGATATTGAAAAATTCCCAAAACTGAAATACTGAAAGATTGAATCGAAAAATCAAAAAAGTGGAAAATTAAAAAAACGAGAAAAATAGGAGAAATCGAAATATCTAAAATTAAAAAAATCGAAATTGAAAACTCGAAAAAATGTTTTAATGGAAAAACCAAGATCGGAACTTGGAAAAATCAAAAAATTGAAGAATCGAAAAATTGAAAAACAGATAATTTGAAATATCCCAAAACTGAAATATCAAAATATTGGATAATTGGTACATTGAAAAATTGGAAAATCCTAGATTTTTGGCTTTTCCAATTTTTCGATTTCTAAATTTTGCATTTTTCTATTTTTCAATTTTTCGATATTACGGTCGAAAAGTAAAAAAATCGAATAATTGAAACATTTGAAAAACCGAGAAATCGAAACATGAAAAGATCGAGAAATCGAGAAACCGAAATACATTAAAAATTGAAAAATTTTAAATTTAAAAGAATCGATAAATGGGAAAATCTAAAAATGGAAAAATCAACAAATCGAAACATTAAAAATCGAAAAACTGAAAAATCTAAAACCGAAAAGTCGAAATATCAAAAAATTGAAAGATTCAAAAATCGAAAAATTGAAAAATTCCAATACTGAAACACCGAAAAATGAAGAAATCAAAAAATTTAAAAATCGAGAACGAAAAATCAAAAATTTTAAAAACAAAAAAATTGAAAAATCGAAAACCTGAAAATTCGAAAAATTCAAAAATTGAAAATCGAGAAATAGAAACATTCATTAAAACGTCGAGAAATTGAAAATTGGAAATTCGGAAAATCGATTAATCGAAAAATCGACAAATCGAAAACTTGAAAACACCAAACATTAAAAAACGGCAAAAATTTAAAAATCGAGAAATTGAAGATCAAAAAATTGAAAAATCTTAATACTGAATTATCGGAAAATCGAGAAATCGAAAAATATACCCTGAGAAACCGAAAATTTAAAAAATTAGGAATTCAAGAATTGGAAAATCCTTAAACTCAAAAATCTCAAAACAGAAATATCGAAAGACTGAGGAAAGTTGGAAAATCGAAGAGCCGAAAAATGGAATACATATTTGAAAAATCGAGAAATCGAAAAATTTTAAATTTAAAATATCGAAAAATAAAATCTGAAGAATTGAAAAACCGAAAAATCGAGAAATCGGAAAATCGAAAGTCGAAAATTTAAAAACTTAAAAATTGAAAAACAGAGAAGTTGAAGAACTGAAACATCGAAAATTCTAAAATTAAAAAAATTAAAATATCGAGAAATTGAAGAGTCAAAAAATTGGAAAATCGAATAATCAAAAAATTCCAAAACTGACATTGAAAAATTGAAGAAATCGAGAAATTGAAAAATCGAGAATTCGAAAAATCGTAAATTTCAAAATCGAGAAATCGAAAAATTTCAAAACTGAAACACCGAAAAATTGAGAAATCGAAAACTTGAAAAATTGAGCAATCGAAAAGACGAAAAAATAAAAATTTTAAAAACAAAAAAATTGAAAAATCAAATACCCGAAAAATCGAAAAATTCAAAAATTGAAGAATTGAAAAACTGAAAAATCGAGAAATAGTAACACTCATTAAAAAGTCCAGAAATCGAGAATTAAAAAATTGAAAAATTGATTAATCGAAAAATCGGGAATTCGAAAAATTGACAAATCGAAAACTTAGAAACGCCAAAAATTGAAATTTTGAAAAACGGAAAAATTTTTCAAATCGAGAAATTGAAGAAACAAAAAATTGAAAAATCCTATTATTGAAATATCGGAAAATCAAAAAATCGATAAATAAAAATTGAGAAATCGAAAATTTGAAAAGTCGAGAAATTCAAGAATTGAAAAATCACTAAACTGAAAAATCTCAAAAGTGAAATGTCGATAGTTAGAAAATCGAGAAATCGAAAAATCGAAAGTCGAAAATTAAAAAATTTATAAATTGAAAAATAGAAAAGTCGGAGAACTGAAACATTGAGAAATCGAAAACTCTAAAATTAAAAAAAAATAAATATCGAGAAATTGAAGAATCAAAAAATTGAGAAATCGAGAAATGGAAATATCGAAAACTCGAAACAAATTAAAAAATCGAAAAGTCGAAAAATTACAAAACTGAAACATCGAAAAATTGAAAACTCAAGAACCCAAAAAATCGAAAAATTGAAAAATTAAAAAATTGAAGTGAAAAATTGAAAAACCGAGAAATAGAAACATTCGTTAAAAAGTCGAGAAATCGAAAACTTAGAAACGCCAAAAATTAAAAATTTGAAAAACGGACAATTTAAAAATAGAAAAATCGAAGAATAAAAAAATTGGAAAATATTAATACTGAAATATCGAAAAATCGAGAAATCGAAAAATAAAAATTGAGAAACCGAAAATACGAAAAACCGAGATTTAAGAATTGAAAAATTCCTAAATTGAAAAATCTCAAAACTGAAATTTCGAAAGACTGAGGAACTGATAGTTCAAAAATTGAGAAATCGAAAGTCAATAATTTAAAACCTTAACAATTGAAAAACAGAAAAGTCGATGTTTCAGTTCTCGGGAAATCGAAAACTCAAAAATTGAAAAAATTAAAATATGGAAAAATGGAAACATCGAAAAATCGAAAACTTGAAAAATCCTATCGAGTAATTGAAAAATCGGTAAATCGAAAAATCGAACTTTTAAAAAACAAAAAATTGAAAATTCAAAAACCTGAAAAATCCAAAAAGTGAAGTACTTATTGAAGAATTGAAAAACTGAAAATTCGAAATATCGAAAAATTGAAATATAGGAAAGTCGAGAAATCGAGAAATAGGAAAATCAAGAAATCGAAAAGTCGAAAAATCGATTAATCTCGAAATCGAGAATTCGAGAAACCGACAAATGGAAAACTTGCAAAATTAAAAAAATGCACAACTAGCGGAAAATCGGGAAATCGAAAATTTGAAAAATCGTAAAATTCAAAAATCACAAAACTGAAATATCGAAAGACTGAGGAATAATTGTTTAGAAAATGGAGAAAGCGAAAAATCGAAAGGCCGAAAAATGTAATATTTGAAAAATTGAGAATCGAAAAATTTTTAATTTAAAATATCGAAAAATAAAACTGAAGAACCGAAAGACTGAAAAATCGAGAAATGGAAAGTCAAAAATTTAAAAACTTAAAAACTGAAACATCGAGAAATCGAAAACTCTAAAATTAAAAAAAAATCAAATGTCGAGAAATTGAAGAATAAAAAAATTGAAAGATTGAGAAATGGAAACATCGAAAAATTGAAAAATCGAAAAATCCCGTCGAGAAATTGAAAAATCAGTAAATAGAAAAATCAAAATTTTAAAAATCAAAAAATTGAAAATTCTAAAACCTGAAAATTCCAAAAAGAGAAGGGGAAAATCAAAAAATCGAAAAGTCGAAAAATCAATTATTCACGAAATCGAGGATTCGAGAAATCGACAAATGGAAAGCTTAGAAAGGTCAAAAAATTGAAAAATCGTGTACTAAAATGTTGAAAACTCGAGAAATCGAACTGAAAATCCATAAACTGAAAAATCTGATATCTGAAGTTTCGAATCGAAAGACTCAAGAATCGATAGTTGGAAAATGGAGAAATCGAAAAATCGAAAGGCGGCCAAAAAATGCAATATTTGAAAAATCGAAATTTTCGATTTCCCGATTTTAAATTTAAAATATCGAAAAATAAAAACTAAAGAACCAAAAACCTGAAAAATCAAGAAATCGAAAGTCGAAAATTCAAAAACTTGAAAATTGAAAATCAAAAAAGTCGGAGAACTGAAACATCG